CCAGAATAAGTCTTAAATGATGGTTCAGAGTATTAAAGATCCTGTCATGGAGTCAGCAGGTAACATAGTTATTCATGTTTGTTAGGTTATGCCCTTTCAGCTCTCTAAGCTCTCAGCCCCATATAAATTCAGGCTGTGGTTGGTGGAAGATTTTTCAGCCTCCTGTCTGGAGCAAAATTGCCTGTCCCTAGTCCTTGGCTTCAAGAAGGGTGCTGGTATTCAATCCTCTCTTCCCCATGGATAAGGTGGCCTTTGTTGATTGTAGTGGGTTCCAAGGGAGAGGAATGAAGTAAAAATGCCTTTATTTCACCATCTTAAGCAAGTTTTATACAGATAGCTCTCAATATTGTTTGTTTTTACTCCACAACTTTAGTTTCCCTCTTCTATCCAGATCTAAAAAATCATGTTTCTAATTCCATTTTACTAAGAATTTAAAATTTTTATGTTAAATTCAGGAATGAAGGCTGATTTTCTTTTTTACCAAGATGCTTTAAAGCATCTAGGTACACTAGATAATCATATACTTTTTCTTTTGACTTGTTAACTTGGTAATTTAATATTTCCGAATACTGACTCATTTGTATGTCTAAAAGAGCTACGTTTAATTACGCATATGATTCTTTTGAATCATTTAAGATTATACATTGCTAATCATATGTAAAACTTGTCTTTGTGTATATGCATGTATGTCATCTTTTTAAAGTTATGGTAGTAACATGATAATGACTTCAGTAAAGAATTTGAACAATTACTAAAATCACCTTCTGGTCTGTATACATCCAAATTCACTGCTCCCTTCCAGAATTGAGGAAATTCTCCTTTAGCTGTAGGGCTCACTTCAATTTTATTCTGCATTTTAGTATTGTGCTTGGTTTTCAGTGTATTTTACTTCACGAAATCTCAAGGATCCAATACATTATCAAAACCAGATGGCAGTATTTCAACGTAATCTCTTCTGTGCTGGTAAGATTTTCAAGTTTTACAAAACTGAACTATAAGCTGTAAGTTTAATTTTTAGGTTACAAGGTGAAGGTCTCTATAAATTCTAGTTTTATGCTAACAAACTCCCAATATGTGGTAAAAATGTTATTTTGCAAACACATAGTCATACAACAAGTAACAGAAAATAGGTATATTATTTACATTTCAACACTGACACTGTTACAGAGAGATAACCTTAATGGTGCATTCTACCACTCAATCAGGCAAGAGAAAAACACTGCCTGGAGGAGGAGAATAACAGCTTTTGTACGTGCCAAGCTCCAGGGTTCCAGAAGAGGTAATGTAGGGTACAGAAAAATAAAAGGAAAACAAACTATTGCCCTTGTTTATGGTTTCCACCAAAAAAAGGAGATAGATGACAGTCATGCTTCTCAGGAGACTGGTTTCCTCATTAGTTAATATATACAAAAAAGGAAGATGAAAAAAGATGAGAAAGTAGGCTAAATGTATAAGTCTTATTTTAAAATTGTAAAATGAAGGAATTTGAGTTTATGATCTCCAAAGTCTCTTCTAAATCTAAAATTCTATGCCTCCTACCCATACAATGTTACACACGAAAGCACGTTGAAGGTGCCTTTGTGCTACACTGTCTCTGTGATGGAAATGACATTCTTATTTGTGTTTTGTTCCAACTGCAGTTCTTCATTCAGGCACACTATTTTTTCCCTCGCCGTAGGTAACATTTTTTTCCTAATGGCCTTGATAGAATTTTCCTAAGCAAGCAATATCTAGTTCTACTAAATATATTCTTTACAATCTTATTCCTGTACTGTTTTTTTCTGCAAGTAATTTGCTAAATGTTTTCAAATTTAATCTTAACCTTCCTTATTTATATGTCACATTTATTCTTAGAATCTTAAACTTATGGTTATTTCCCTTAAGAAAGCCTTTCATTTGTATTCTTAACAAATGCTCTTTTGTTTCGAAGTTATAAAAAAAGATTTTTCTAGATATAGTAACTCTCCATTATCAGCTTGTTTCAAGTTTTATACATATATACACATATACAGACACGCATGACAATCGTGTTTTAACTTACTTAGGTAGAAGGCTCTACTAATGAGACAAAGGTTAAGGGCTCGATATCCAAGTGAATTATTGAGTTTTGTTTATTTGTTCCACTGCCAAAGATTAGTCTTGACCCTAATAGGCTATTTTGCTAATGTGTATCTTTTGTTAAAAAGCAGCTTAGAAGACTATAGATGATTCAATGCAAATACATTACCACCCTTAGAAAATAGTCAAAACACATACCAGATGGACTGTTATTCTTACTCTTAAGATGACACCAATAGCTGTTCTTTATCACATCTCCTGAAAAGACTTCTTTTTATATTACTGCATGTTAAGTAATAATAAATGAAAATGGAATTTATGTTTTATAATAAATTATGTAGTAATACAGAAAGGTAGAATTACCTTATAGTAATGATTTCGCCTGGGTTTGCCCTTATGAACCAGCTACAGTTGATTTTTGCAGGATATTCAGAAGGCCAGCCTGGGCTTGTAATTATGCCACTTGGTGCTCGAATTTGCTCTGGAGTCTCTCCACAAGCTGGAAGACAGCCAAAGCAATCTTTGCTTATTATTATACGTTCAAAATAGTACTAGGTAAGTCAGTGTTTATTTTTTAAAAACCAAAAAACTTTACACATCAAATAACATCCAATAATATATGGTAGTATCAACTTTAAAAAGTTATTCTAATGAGATATTTCAATTTCCTCCCTTTTAGATAAAGTTTCTTATTCCAATTAAATAGAGTAGCCCCACTTGTCGGACATTTTGCTTTCCATTGTTCAGTTACTTGGAGTCAACAGTGGTCTGAAAATATTAAATGGAAAATTCCAGAAATAAACAACTCTTAAATTTTAAATTGTGTGCTGTTCTGAGTAGTGATGACATCTCTTGCTGTGCCGCTCTGTCCCTCCTGGGACATGAATCTCCCCTTTGTCCAGTGTATCCATGCTGTGTATGCTACCCACCCATTAGTTACTTAGTAGCCATCTCAGTTATGAGATCAACTGTCACAGTATTGAAGTGCTTGTGTTTGCATCACCCTTATTTTGCCATTATGAATGGTCTCAAAGCACAAAAGCAGTGGTGCTGGTAATTCAGATATGTCAAAGAGAGGCTGTAAAGTGCTTCCATTAAGTGAAAAGGTGAAAGTTCTCAACAACAGAAAAAAAATCGTATGCTGAGGTGTCTGAGTTCTAAAGAAAGAATGAATCTTATATCCATGAAATTACGAAGAAGGAAGAAGAAATTCACACTAGGTTTTGCTGTGATACCTCAAACTGCAAAAGTTAATGGCCACAGTGCCTAAGTGCTTAGTTAAGATGGAAAGGCATTATACTGGACAGCAATCAGGTTTGGTACTCTGCAGTTTCAGGTATTCACTGGGGATCTTGAAGGTATCCCCCACAGATAAGGAGGGACTACTGTACATGTTTTGGGCAGGCAAGGAAATTTCCACCTGGATCACTGAATAAGAGTTCAAGATTACTGGCTTTGGCCATGGAGATTGATCTATCCATCTACCCATCTTTTTTCAAAACTCATCTTTCAAGTTTATTTTCTTTATCATAAACTACCTTTCCAATATTTGCTCACCTACTTTGTTTAGATCCTTAGGAGCATAATGCTGCTTTTAGGGTACTCTAAATAAGCCTAACAATAAGATGCTGGATTGTAATTTTTGTTAAGAAGTTAGTGGACGATTGAATAAAGATAGTAAAACATTCAAAATTACTGCAAAGCAGTTCTTCAATTTATTCCATTAATACTTCCAAGCTATTTATTAGTGTTATTAATGATTCCTACATTATTTAAAAGTAAAATCTTGAAATAGTGCTTAAAATATCATCATGTGATTAGATATCTGCATATCACAGAGGAAAATCTTCATGCATATAGAATAAATTAAAACTAATACCAATACTTTCCTGGATTATTCTTGCATTATCTGGAACTCTCGTCGTAAATAGTTAACATTGTCCAGAATTCAGTTGATAATGTGACAATTTATTCTCTCTCAATTAAATACGTGATGTTTAAGCCTTTAGTAGAATTTAAAATCCTAGAACCTCTTATTTAATACAACTTCAACAAATTAGATTACTTGATTTTAAAGTAACAGCAGATTAGAAGCAGAAAATTAGAAGTGGGGAGAGTAGCTGCCAGGGATACATAAACAGTTATCAGAAGTGATGAGTAAGTTTTCAGAAACACAATAAACAGTACATACTAAACTCAAAAACCATGAGCTCATAATTTACACATTATTGCCTGTCTCTCAAAAGGTAAGACTGTTGTATATTGTCATAATAAATTAATATTCATACTGATCTAAGAGTTGTTAAGTGAATAAAGAATCGGTATAGGCAAAATGATTGGTATAATACACGGTCTGCACTCCAGTGCTTTTTAAGTTCAGCTGTAGTTTAAAAATCAGGTAACCCAAGAGATGGCCAAATATCACTATTACAATTGTAACTTGGAAAAATAACTTTTTTTTTTTTTTTTTTTTTTTGAGATGGAGTCTTGCTCTGTCTCCAGGCTGGATGGGATACAGTGGTGCAAACTTGGCTTACTACAACCTCCGCTTCCCGGGTTCAAACAATTCTCCTGCCTCAGCCTCCCGAGTAGTTGGGACTACAGGCGCGAGCCACTACACCCAGCTAATTTTTGTATTTTCAGTAGAGAAGAGGTTTCACCAGGTTGGCCAGGATGGTCTTGATCTCTTGACCTCATGATCTGCCTGCCTCGGCCTCCCAAAGTGTTGGGATTACAGGCGTGAGCCACCATGCCCAGCATTTTTTTTTTTTTTTTAAAGAGATGAGATCTCACTATGTTGCCCAGGCTGGAGTGCAGTAGCTATTCACAGGCACTAGCACAGAACACTACAGCCTTGAATTCTTGGGCTCAGGTGATCCTCTTGCCTCAGCTTCCTGAGTAGCTGGGACAACAAAGAGCATGTCACCATGCACGGCAATTTTTTTTTTTCTCCCGTAACAAAGGTTATACTCTGTTCAATTTAGGTTAAGAATGCTAGGAAGTATACTGTGTAATTTAAAGAATTTTATCCATAATGATCAAAATGAAACAAGCTATGTTACTTAAAGTCAATCCTTATTTCTATAGAATAACCTATTCCCTGAAGAAAACATGCCATCAGAGCCTTAAAAGTATATTCTACTGCAGAAAAAAAGTTCATATCTAAAAATGGATCTGCCCTGGAATCAGGGTCCACTGCCAAAGGGAATCTGTTTTGAATCGCTTTCAGAACAGATTGATAGCATACAGCACACAGATACATCAAGGGCTTAGCATTCATCTCATTGCCAAGGCATAGTCAAAGCTTCCCTTTTTTTTTTTTTTTTTTTTTTTTTTTGCTGCTCTTTCATTAGTAAATCTCCCTGACAAAAAATTTTTAATTTTAATAAATGATGTTTTAGAAAAAGACTAAATGTATCCAAATGTAATTCTTTTTTAAGAGTTTATTAATAATAAACTGCCAGTTTGCTTCCACTTTGCTCTGAGTTATTATTACAATAATTTAATAAAAGGATGGCTAAGTTATTTATAACACCTTCTTTTCTCCCGGACACGGTGAAACCCTGTCTCTACAAAAAATACAAAAATTAGCTGGGTGTGGTGGTGCGCCTGTAGTCCCAGCTACTCAGGAGGCTGAGGAAGGAGAATCACTTGAACCTGAGTGAATTTTTTTTAGATGGAGTCTCGCTCTGTCTCCAGACTGGATGGAGTACAGTCTGGAGTACTGAGGGGCGGAGGCTGCGGTAAGCTGAGATAGCGCCACTGCACTCCAGCCTGGTGACAGAGCGAGACTTTTCATTATCTCCTACCATAGCATTCTGGAGTCGTAGTAAGCTAAAGGAAATCTCAAGTTCATGAAAATATAAACAAACATATAAATAAACAGCCAAAAACAATCATTACCCTTTCCCCAGAATATGGAAAATTGTTCATTTGTATTAAAAGATTCACCTACATTAAAGAGAATACAATTTTGAGTTAAATTACATTCAACTCAGAATTATAACGCTGTACTAGCATATTAAGTACTCAACTATTTATTAAATGATTCACCTACATTAAAGAGAATACAATTTTGAGTTAAATTACATTCAACTCAGAATTATAACGCTGTACTAGCATATTAAGTACTCAACTATTTATTAAATGGTTTAACAGCAGTGACATACAGCCAAAAACAAGGTGGGAGTAGTCTATGACAAAGAACATTCCTAACCTTTGACTAAATCGATATTCTAATTATAGGGAAAAACTAGAAAGAATTTTATTAGGTTTTGTTTTAGGAAAAAAATTTCAAGTACATGAGAAACCCATAGGTGGTGCTCTTATACCAAAAACCGAAGATTCTAGTATGGTACTCAAAAATACATTTTGTGAATATTTTATTTTCATACAACTGCCCAAGGATAAGACATACCACCCCTAAATAAGATTGGTTATTATACGATTCAATATTTATATTTCTAATTCAATATGTACTTGTATAACATTATTTTAAAATATTAATGATTCTTCCTAATCAAAAACAAAACCATAGTATCCTAAAGTTTCTTACTGAATTAATTATAAATACATATATTGATTTAGTTATGCATATTTCCAACATGACTGAATTTGGAATTTGGCTCCAGATCTAGCCAGTGGCTTTTTATCAACCTATTTTCGCATGTACAATACACTGAGTATGTAGACAAATATGCTCTAGCACAGCCATAATGTATTCCTTTCTATATCTAACAAAGAATACATTTCAAAAGTCAAAGGAAACTATTAAAGCAATTTTTAACTCCTTTTTGGGTTAAGAGTTTGCCTATGTATACTGGCAGATTTGGAATGAGAAGACCTAGACGCTGTCTGTTCTATCTGCCAATGTCTGTTCTATCACAATGTAAACTACTAAATTTTGGGGGGTGCTATTAATAATTTCCTCAGGTGTTGAAATAAGGAGTTGCTATTTGAATACCTCTAAGGTCTATTTCAGCCCTCAATCATGCATCTCTTCCCACTACATTTCTGATAGCTCAGGGGGATACAATGATAAATTTTTCATTTTCTTCCTTTGCATTTTCTCTCTGACCCACTGAAATAGACTCTCAATTCTGACCTTATCTCCACAGAAACCACGCTAGCAGGCAAAGGTCATCAGTGACCTCACTGCTAAATGCAATGGATACTCACTCCCAAGGTACTTGATCTTTCTGGAGCACTTGACACTGACTACCCAGACTTGGAACTGTACTACCCAGACTTTGTGGACATCACCTCCTCTGATTCTCCTTCTAACTCTATTCTGTGTTAATTTTCTAGCACTAGATCCTCTGTCCTTGGCCAGTCAGACAGCCCGCCCCTGATACTGGTTTCATGGTTAATTCCAAAGCCCTCTGCTATTCTCACTCTCAATAGAAGATTTCATCTGCTTTTACAATTTCAACTATGGTCAAGAATTTAAAATTTTTAACCCAGAGGTTTTGAACAGTCAAATGCCCACTGGACATTCTAACCTCAAATTCAACATGATCAGACCTGTGTGTTTCCCAAATTCGTCTTCAGAATATCCTATATTCTGAATCTATGTCGTCTTATGCAGCATTTGGTTGATGGAATAGGTACTTAAGGAAAAAGAAACTGAAGAATACCACAGGCGTTTTCAAGAATTTTTAAGGACAGGAAATAAGTTAGGCCTCACAGAGATTAAAACTGGAAATTTCAGTCAGAAATTGAGCCTGCCTTCTCCACGTCTTAGGGAACCAAGTCCTGTTTTATCTCTTACAAATCTGCCCCAACCTTCCAAAGGATCTCCTCTGGGTCTTCCATTTTTTCATTATTTCATTATTTTTCATTATTTATAAGCTTTATAAATGGTTTCCCAGTCCCAACTTATCATTAATACTTCAGCTCCAGTACCTACTATCATCTGTAATTTCCTTTTTCCTAGTTTATTATATTTATACTACTGTTACTCATTTTACATTATAGATTTGAGGTGGCTTATTATTATAATATTGACAAAATAGATAAAACTTAAGTCTCGGGCCAGGTGTGGTGGTTCATGCATGTAATCACAGCACTTTGGGAGGCCAAGCTGGGTGGATCATGAGATCAGGAGTTCAAGACCAGCCCGGCCAATATGCTGAAACCCCGTCTCTACTTAAAAAAAAACAAAAAAAAAATTAGCCAGGTAGGGTGGTGCACGCCTGTAGTCCCAGCTACTCAGGAGGCTGAGGCAGGAGAATTGCTTGAACCTGGGAGGCGGAGGTTGCGGTGAGCTGAGATCATGCCACTGACTCCAGCGTAGGCAACAGAGCGAGACTTTGTCTCAAAAAAAAAGACAAAAAAACAAAACAAAACAAAAAAAAGTCAGTCTCCATTTCCTCACTTGTAAATGGGGATTAAAATACTAGTACACAGGGTGTTCCAAGGATTATATACAATTATTTTGGTAACAGACATAGCACACTGCTTGCATTACAGTAAACTGTCAGTAAACAATATTACATGATATGCCAAATCAGATGGGTTAGTAGTAATGCCTGGAATGCTGTATTGAGATGGCTACTAAGGCTGTTTTCAGGCTAAGAAAGAGGACAGTGACTGAAAGAGGATGTGAGATTGTTTACTGAGTAAGTGCTGGGCACCGTTATGCACTGCAAAGAATGAGAAAATATGTCATGATTAACCTGACACAGATAAAAGCCATGGGAAGGATAGGGTTGAGACACATACTCACAAAACTTTACTTTAGGAAATAAATCTCTTTTTGTTTGAAATCAAAATCTTTACATGGCTTGAACTTCATCTTTCTACATTTTGACTATCCTCCCAGTTTAAAATACATCAAACTTGACCTTCTTTTGCTTACATTCATTCTATTCATACCTTTTCTATTGCTTAAACATAGTTATTTCAGCTATGATCTGGCTAATTCTTCCTTAAGAATTAGTTTATATGTAATTGGCAAATAAATAAATCTTGTCAGTACTATGCAGAATTGTGTAAGATCTTATTCCCAGCATGCTAATGATTTGAAATAACCAGAAGTAGAAGTTCTCAGAGTTTAAGAAAAAATATGAAAACCCTATAGAAACTGCCTTTCTTTATTGCAAAATGTGGTTACTTTTTTTGGCTAAAATAACTCCTTGGTTTTTGTCTATATCAAGCTATCTTGGGAAGTTGCAAAATGCAGATGGAAATGTGAAGACATCACACCACTATGAAAACCAAACAACTTCATTGATGAGGGATATGCCTGACGTGTATTTTTAATTTTGATTAAATTAGTCTCCATTAGAAGCAAATACCTTTAAGTAGGGGAGCATGAACCTATGCATATATGGCTGCAGAATATAGACTGATTCTAATTGTAAATGTCTACAGGTATTTGACTGTGCTAGTATCTGGATTGATATTTTATTTGCTCGGGTTATACTTAAAAGGTATGTAGTCGTAAGTGATCTACGCCAACACTATTTTCTCACAAGCCTTGTTAGTCTTTGTTCATTTTGCTTCCTTAATACATCTCTTAATTACTTGCATCAACTTTTTAAATTTACTATTTTTTTTATAGAGATGGGGTCTCCCTATGTTGCCCAGGCTGGTCTTGAACTCCTGAACTCAAATAATCCACTCTCCTTGGCCTCCCAGAGTACTGGGATTACAGGTGTGTGCCACCACACCCAGCCAGTATCAACTTTTGTCCTACAAAAATCATCTATCTAATTTATTTTGGTCAGTTATCTTTTGATAGAAACAAATATTCAAGTACTTTGAATAATGACGATCTATATTCTCTACTTTTTATAAATTTCCTATAACCCCAGAAATAGAAATCCCCAAATTAAAGAGGTTCTAAATATTTATTCAAAAGATAGCAACTTTCAAACGTGGATAGCATCTTTTTAGTAGGAACATACAGGCTATGTGACTAGCCCCCACAAAAGCCTATTTAATTTACAGTTGATCTAGTGTATAGGAAAAAGACAATGACATTATTATAATGCTAATGGTTAAGCTATATGAAAAGATTAACTGAATACATATTTTTAAAATTTATCATGTATGCTGTCAATTGAGAAAGGGAGAATTAACTGAAGAATGAATAGGTAGAGATTCTCTGACGGAGTTCTTAAGATTTTGGTATTAGTTTTCTCGTTTAAAATACAAAGATCTCATTGTATAGTTTAGAAAACAGGGCAAGATCAACTGATGAAGAAACACTGAAGACTTCTTCATGTTTATACTTATACTATTTTAATAATCCTACAGAAAGCATAGGACTATTATTTTAAAACTAGATTAATGCATCATACTTATTATCTTTAAATCAATTATTTAAAAAATTGGAAGTGCTCAAACAACCTCTATTAAGAGGACACATGAAAGAGGGAGGATCACTTCAAAATAATTTCAAGCTGTCTTGCAATTTGAGATTTCATAGTTTCAAAACACCTAAAAAATCACAGAAAAAAAAATTAAGTAAAGATATTTATAATTAGAGCTGAACTACTGTCAAAGAAAAAAGTACAATTTCCTGTTCCACAGATGAAGAACTGAGTTTTTTTAAACTGACAAGAATTGATACTTTATGACAAAAAGTAGTTGAGACTAAGTTATGTGAAATCTTTGTGATTTTGATTTTAATAAATCACAAAACTGAAATGCAAGTAAGTGTCTGTTTATGTTTACTGACCACCTAACTTCATAAGACACATATGAAGGGCACAAAAGAAATAGAGAACTCGTGCTCTCATGGAAATTATAGTTTTATAACAATGACATGTACTTCTTAACTGAATTCAAGAAGCATTTAATAGTTAATATGACATCATACCAGATAATACAGTACTACATGATATAATGCATAACAAGTAATTTTAGGCAAAGTGTCACATGTTCAGTTAAACACATGGTGTTATTAAACAGAAACAAAGGCTGACCAAAAACCTGCATTATGCCAAATATAGAACAGGGAAGGTTCTGCTTGACTATGCACAAACGATTTCTTTCATAGAAGAGAAGGTGGTAGAGCTACAGAAAAGCATACTCTAAACTAGTTAAAGAATTTAATGACCCAATTCTATAGACAGTAGTCAAGCCAAGATAGACCTACTACAAAAGGAAGTTATGTGATCCAAGTATTTTGTAAAGGTTATTGAGGGAAGAGCAACCATGAGGCAAAGAGATCACCTAAAAGGCAATTATAAAAACTCATCTTTTTGTACAATTTTACTTTATGAAAGTTTCACAACAGAGTAAAATCATGCTCACTCTGTTCATAAGCAAAGGATAATAGCATATATAGGGAACAGTGGTTACTGTCATTTGGCCATCTCATTTTTCAGAGTACTGTATAGAGTATATTATAAAGATATTAATTCCATTATGGCTGATGAGTACAAAAGCAATTCCAAGTGTTGACAACTAGTAAGAAGGATTTGATTCCAATGGAAATAAATGTGCTAAAAAACCCCACCATCTCCAAAATAAAAATTTGGTAAGCAAATGGTGTCTGTTGAATGGCCATATGGGATTAGAGTAAAAATTATTCTGAAAGTTAACAAGGGAATCATCCAATACATTGAAAATACTATGCTTATGCAAACAACTAGAGGCACCCAAACATGGAAAAACCAGAGTTTGTAGTTACATGACTAGCATCAGATATCAGATACCTCCTGGACTACTGTTAATTTAGGAAAATAATAGCAGTTTGAAAACTTAGAGGCTAAGTATGACACACAGTGCTGAGGATGAGATTTCTGCTTCAAGTCAGAAATGTATGGTTTCTAAGTCCAAGGACTGTAAGTATCATTAAAGTGAAGCACGTATGCCGGCCCTGGATCCACAGCTGATGATAATGTTATAAAATTACCTAATACTTAATGAACTCTTACTACCTGTCAGGTACTTTAATGCTTATTATTATTATCCCTACTTAACAGATAAGAAAAAAATGGAGGCATAGAGAAATTTGGTAATTTTCCTAAGGTCACAAAAGAGCTGTAAGTGTCAGAGCTGGGATGGAACTCAGGCAAGAGACTTCATACAAGCTGTATTCTTAACCACTAAGGCAAACTGCTGCCCACTAAAGAACTCCCTATGACATCTGGAAAAATTACCAGGGAGGTGGAAGGGAGCCGCTTCAATAGCATTTAAATGACAAAAGTGGTCTATTCTAGAAAAACGAACTATTGGTCCTACATTAACATGGATTAAAAGGGTAGATAATCTATAATAACACGGAGAACATAAGTACAGTTAGTAGTTTTGAAATTTCTAAAGATTGATTCCATTATCTAAGAACTATAGGCAGGACTGACCAGCTTCTTAGTATCTTTGGAATTAAAAATGTTATAAACAGCATTCTAGAATCTACTTTTAATGATAAGAGAACATATATATACATATAGTTAATTATGGGTAAGATGCTTAGGGCAAGGAGTAGAATAGAAGCAATAAGGGCATGAAGTGGAGGGTGAGGGAGACATTTCAAAGGAAGAGCAACGGACAGACACTTAAAAATGGACAGTTTGGAAAGCATGCATATTCAGCATAGAGTCTATGGGCCACTGAGAATACATGGCAAGTGACCAACTGTTGGAATATGCAAAAAAAATAAGTTAGAGTACTATAGTTGCCCTCTGTTGAAATGTCATGTATAACATAACTAGGCCCTGTAACCTGAACCGGAAACATACGCCCACAGCTAGGCAGAAATAACTTGATTCAAAAGTCCTCTTCCTGTCTCTTGACTGCGCTTGTTGCCTAAATAGTGTCTTGATTTCTCTGACCCTCCAGACTCTTTAAATGGGGTTTTCTGACTCCCTGGCACCTGAACCAAGCTGCGTCATAATGTGAAATGTCACAACAGTCAACATTTTGAGGATGGAGAGAGTTGGAAGGGGACAGAGATTGAACATGAGTAAGATTTCCTTAGAATTACTCCAAACTTCATTCTTTTTAAAAAAGAAGTTAGAAAACTGAACTTCTCCCTGTATGGGAATAATTAACTAGCACTTGAACATAGGTTGAGTACCCCTAATCCAAAATGCTTGGGACCAGAAGTGTTTTGGATTTCAAAATTTGGAATATTCGTGCACATATACTGGTTG